CCAGCTCACCTCAGGCAGGAATGAAACCGAGATTCTCTGTGGTGTGGGTTAAAAGAAGCCACTCTGTAGGCATGTGGCTGCCAAAGCCCCTCCATGTGTCCGAGTCATCCTCTCTGCATCCCAGAGTCAGGGGAGGTTGGGCTCACTGAGGACCCACGAACGGAATTCCCAGGAACGTGTCCCCTGTTGGGTGAGGCAATGGGGGCGGGACTAGGATGATTTTCTCCAGGCTCTCCAGTTATACCAAGGAACAAAGGAATCCCACGGAAACACAGAAACTCAATTTATTCTGGTCTGTTCCACCTCACCTGGAGTCTGGCAGGGCAATACTGAGCTGGCCCCACGATCCACTTGCCCATACCCTCTCAGGGCTCCGGGTGGCCATTTGTGCCGGCAGACCTTTGGGCAGCGACTCAACCCCGGTGGACTTTCTCTGTGACCGCCCAGACCTAACTGCTTACTTCTTTCTTCCGTTCCTTTCCGCCAGAAGCCAGCGTTTTGTTGTGACAACTGGGAAGGTTCCCTAGGCTCTTCTCTGGCAAGGAGGCCGGAGAACTGCAGCGGGCAGAGCCCATGTCTCTGGGGACTGCCTGTTTGGTTTTGTTGCTGACTCTTCCTCCTGTGCCCAGGCAATACACAGAGCTTCTGGGTCCACACCAGTATGAGATCTGCTCCTCAGCAACACAAACTTGCAGTCCAGCAACCACTTTTCTGGAATATGCCTTAAAACCAATGTTTGCTAACCTCAGGGTGCTTGCTAGCAGAGAAGAGCAGAAACACGGGGCTGGAGACATCGGAAGGGTCTGGAGCTCTAAAATCTGGTCTAAATTTAGGATCTACATTTGCTCTTTCATCCATTGTCCGCCGCTGCCGCTGCTGACTCCTGCCTGCGCCGGGTGGCCGCCTCTCTTTTGCTGAAGTGTCCACACGTGGGCTTTTCTGCCTTCGTGAGGACCCTGTGTATGACCACATGTCTAAGGGACACCGAAGGCATGTGGATTCTGCAGATGATGCTGTGCACGGTCCTGCCCTGCTTATACCTGCACAGCTCTTCTGATTTCCTCTGGGGAAGCCAGAGCCTCTCAGACGCGCAGCCGACCCAGGAAGCCTGCAGGTGACTGGTCACCAGGGGGCGATCTCACACAGCAAAGCTGCAGCCTTCCAAGGCGTGCGGAAAGCCAAATGCCTTCACTCTCCTTGGGGCCTACTCTTCTCAGATTAAAGAGGGACTAAAGAGAAAACACAGTCATCTGCAAACATTGTTTTTAAGACACATTCCAGGAGAGTGGTTGCCAGAATGCAGGTTTGCGTTGTGAGGAGCAACTCCCATGCTGGTGTGGACCCAGAGGCTGTGTGTGCTGCCTGGGCGCGGGCGGTGCCCGGTGGTGTCCACGGCGAGCGAGGGTCCACAGTGCAGAGGGCACAGGGGCTGAACACCATGATTTCCTGCCTCACACACTGGGCATCCAGCTGGGGGGAAGAATAACCACGTCTACAACCAAACCCTCCCGAGCATGTCTATGTGGAAAGTCACTGAAAGGACGAGCATTTGTCTGGTTTTTAGTATATATTAAAATGAATTTATTTACACAGTAATGATGCCACAGAGTACACAGCAAAGTACCACAGCAAACCACAGGGTGGCGCCACTGGTGACGGAGGGGACCTGTCCTGGATAGATTTGTACATACGTTATAATTGGTAAGTAGAGAGGTGACACTCCTGAAAGAAGAGCAAGAAAAACAAGATTTTCGAATACACAGAGTGTGGGCATAGCCAAGGAGGAGTAAAAAGAGACTGGAATGAGGATCGTTATGGTTCAAAACACTGAGCATGGTGACATCTTACTTCTGCCTTCATCTCACTCCAAAATGTCCTGCATATCGTCAACAGAAAACCCGGCCTAGCGCGTTCACACAGGCCACTCTTTACAAACTGGTAAGTGAAGGGATAAGCAGGTAGTATTTGGAGCAAGTTTCTGAAGCAGTGTGGTCTAAGCTTTCAAAAATGCTACCCTGAAGCCAGGGCTGGGTCAACATTCAAGCTATCATGAGTGCAGACATACATCCTAGCCACATATGAAGGGCAAAGTGTCCTTTCTGCACAGCACTGATATTCACAGCAAAATATATGACTCTGTACTTCCGCTAGGTTAAAGTTTCCAACCTCTTGATTCCCTGAAACTTACTTGATTAAAAAAAAAAAACAACCATGGGAGTAGATAGGATGGGTGGGACTAGAAGCTGAGCTAAACTCAGGCTCTGTGGACATCCGGAGTGTTCCCGGCAGCAGCCTGTGCAGAACCTTCTCTGATTCCGAACCGCGGAGGAGAGGGTGTCTGACAGCCGTGTAGCACCTTGTACCTTCTGGGCACTTACAAATATTAAATGATGGTGATGATGAATGGTAAACGACTCTGTAGTAAGCTTTATAAAACAAGTACAATTTGTTAAGAAATTTCCCAAGAATTCTTTAAACAAACCTATTAAAACTACCATGTCTCTTTAAAAAAATCCCTGCTGTCAGGGTCACGTGGAAACGGTGTCCCCAGCTGAGGTCTGCGCAGCAGCCACAGTCTGTCAAGGGGAGACAGAGAGTTCCTTCTTCTCAACTACAGGGGGCTTTGTGTCTGCCCAGGCTTTCATCCTTCTCCTCCTCCTCATTTTTTCTTCTAATATACAAAATGGACTTCTTAAAAAAATAGGTGCTTTTTGAGGATGGGCTTTATTAGCTGAATACCTTGACATGGAATGTGTGTGAATCCCCCTGCCCACGGCATCTGTCACAGCTCACCCTCGTCATCGTAGAAGCATCAGGATAGAAAGGCTTGATTTCTTTGGTATAATCTCTCCTAGCATCTCGCATTGCAGCTCTTCTCACACCCTCGCGGCACTGTTTTGGTCCACAGACCCCGCCTTGGGCGCTGCTTCAGCACGGACAGCTGGATTGCAGTGCACACTTCGGCAAGAGCAGCGCTTGGCTTGGTGTCGGCACAGAACTTTGGGCCTTTGAGGACATGAGCTTCAGTGAAATAAAACTTATTAGTTTTATTGGTTTCATGGGCAGCCATCCTGTTCACTCACTGGGCTGGATCAGAATTTTCAGTCCTTATTAACTAGTGAAGGTATGAAAAACACACCAGACTTGGCCCAGGGTGTCAAATTCTTGTCACCCCTCTTCTCCAAATGTTATTTTATCTACACATCTAGATCATTTGAAATGTAGTACAGAATCTTGAATCTATTCCTATTTCTGGGACTAGCCTGTATTTTTTTAGATCACTGGTGGTAAAATCTAGAGGAAAACCCTAATTACAGGTTACTAGTAAAGCAAATGTCAGGTTACTTCCCAGCACCAAAGTATTCATAACTCAAATTTGGGAAGCTGGGTGTAATCTTCCTATGCCCTACTATTTAGTAGGCCCCAAAGATCTTTCATGCAAATTTTACAATACTAGAAACTTTAAAATACAATTTTAAGTAGTTTTAATCCCAGAAATGTCTTTAGTATTTCTAGATGTTTAGATCTCTTGGCTTAAGAGTTTTCTGTGTTCAAAAGTTTATTCTGAGTTTGGAAGCAAAACTGGGCCCATTTAATCTCACAAAGGGAGGCTGCTCCAACTGTTAGCATCCTAACAAAGACACTTTTAGGCCTGGCATCAGTAGGTTAGGTGGGCTGTGTGCCTGTGCACCCCGCTGCCCCATACCTCACCTGCTCATCTTCTGACGGCAAATCTTGAAGCTCCTAGCCACATTCCTGGCTTCCAATTCTAATTCTGCCTGGGGCTGGTGGACCTCATTCATGATTCTTATGTTGTTCCACAGGTTACGGCTGGTCTTGTTCTCATCCTGTTGTTCTTTATGAATTAGTTTCTGGGCATCATATTAGTATACATATACCAAAAGGGCTTTCCCCAGCCAGCATGGGAGGCTTCTCAAAGTGCTAGTCCTCTTTGTGGACTATCCGCTGACTCTCTTCCTTCAGAGACTAGTTCACTTTCCTAACTAAGGCACTCTGCAGTACATTCAGTCTTGCTCTTGGCTACTCCAGCCACTACCGTGTTTCTCCAGCACCCAAAAGTGTCACAGAGATTGTTCATGCTCATGTGGCTTAAGGAAAAGTTCCAATAGAAGCTTAATTATTCAAATTTTCAATATAAATGGAAGAATCTATAATAAAAACTTCAATAGAAAAGAAAAACATTTCTAATCAATATGGAAGGCAATAACTTGTTGATACTTGAGAAAACTTAAAGTGCTATACTAGTCACAATCCAAAACTCACATATATATATATTTATAAAATATGTGTGTGTGTATATCTGTGTCTACAGAGGGTAGGATTTCTTTCCAGTTGATGAATAAACTCAAAGATTCTACTATGATTCAAATGAAAATGTAAAATAGTTGTGATAATGTTAGATTGACTGATTTTTTTATGGGAAAATATTCTGTGGATCATCTGAGATAGCACTTCTTGCCTAGAAAGACATTTCTCTATTCTGCTATAACCTTTAACACCCCCTTCCGTGCCCACCTCACAGTCTACAGCCATCACCCAGAGAAAAATTACTCTAGCCACATGTCTCTGGGAAGCCTGGGGCCCTTCTCTGACTAGTTGGCACTCATCTTTTGCCCTTAACGAATCAGAATATAAAAACAGTACTAAAGACATCTGACGTGAAGAGGTGCTTGGTTTTCCAGTGCTATAAGATAATGATAGTGGAGGTGTCCTGCTTATTATACTATAGAGTTAACACATTGACTGCCACACTAGAAAAAAATTTTTTTCCGTGGGGCCACAGTGTTTTATTGTGAAAATAGAATTAAAACTTTGAAAACAAAATGATCCTTTCTAATTTAATCAAAAATTTACTTTTTATTTTTTTCTGTGCATGAGTTATATGCAGCTTGAAAAATAGTTCTCGTGGCTCCCAAAGTGAAGAGATGTGTGAGTTACATATGCTTCATGAGGCCCTGGGCTCAAAACTAGTGTGAGTTAAATACAACTCACACGGTAGTTAATGTGTTAAAGGAAGAGTGGATCCAAATCACAGAAAAATAAAGGAAAGAAGATAGAGACATAGAGACATAACAAATAGAGAAACTGGGGAACATTCTGTATCAAGTACGTAACCTCATTAAATAGTCAACATTCAAATTTACATGGGGCAAGGCACCACGAGAGTGACATTGAGAAGGTATGTCTCAATATGCAAACCGTTTGCAGGGGCTGGGGTGGGGCAGTTTAAGGGAATGTGCTGGCCGACACGGTCAGTGGTCTGTGTGCTGCCACTACAGTGCGAAATCAGGCAAGGAGTTATGTGCACATGGGCTTTGCTAACATGAAGCAAAACCAACTTGCCAGGCGAGGTGCAGCCGTGCCACAGGACATGGAGAGTAGACTGCTGGCCAGCAGCAGCAGTGGCCACTCCATGGCTATTCCTAAGGGCAGAGCCCTGCCCTCTGGCGGGGGGAGGCAAGACTCTCCATGGGCCAAGCAGCCCTCTTTCCTGGAAGTCCTACGCTGCTGGCCACGGGGGTAAGGACATCCTACATGTGGAGCCTCACATATCCCATTCTCTTAAAAGAAAAAAATAAGAGCAGAATAAAGTACATTCTTCTCCTTTCTTGATCCTCTTTGATATAGGTGAATCACATGAAAGGCTGGTAAAAATGTTAAAAGTTTAACATTTTCCAAGGCCACTAATGTGCTATCTAAGTAATACTGCACAACCAGTCCTGGCTTTGTGGAGACTCGGTGCTGGCGGGGGAAGGGCCCAGGCTCCCTCCCGACCAGGCGCAGAGAGCGTGTCTGCCAACCCCACCGCAGGCCGCTCCCTCGGAGGCCTGGCCTCCCAGCACGCATGTGCACACACACGGACACTGTTCGAGTGACTCTTGGGATTTCAAGGATGAAGTAAACAGATACTCACAGTTTTGAATAAAATAAGCATGAGCACGCAAACAGGTGCGTGCACACACGCCTGTGGAAGGAGCGCTTGTCTCTTAGCGCAAATATGTGCCAAGGAAGAAGGGGAGGGTTTCTGTAGATCTCGCTTCGGGTGAAGTTGTAACATAAACACTGTAATATACAGCTAAAAAATACACACAAAAATTGCACATGTATCCATAGGAGAGGGGCACAGGCCCCACGCCCGGGAACAGCTCTCATCCACTGCCTCAGCCATCGGAATCCGCAGGAGCCCTGCCCAGAGCCGCCTGAGGGAGAGCAAGGCGCCGCCCATGCTGGAGGCCGTCTCTCTAGAAGAGGGCAAAGTTCTGGGGGGCAGCAGCCTCTCCAGCGGCCTTCGTCCCCTCTCGCCTTACGGCCACCCCAACACCCGCTCTGCTGTGCCCCCCGAGGCGCTCTTAGAGCTCAACTGAAGCCATTTCACTCAGGGCTGCTGCTCACAGCACTTGGTAGACCAGCTAACACTGGCTGCCGGCGTCAGGGAGCTGGCCAGTTACTGGTGGGGACACTGTGACCTGGGCACCGCCAGCCCTGGCTGCCAATGCTGACAGTTTTGACAATAATCAAAGACTAGTACTTTAAAGTCTGTTCCCTGATGGCCCCTAGAGAATTGCACATGCAAGGAAATCATCTCCTCATGTCCTGCCAGCTATTTATGAGCTCTGAACTGCGCTTCACCCTGCTGAGGCATTGGTGACACTGCCTCGGGTCAGCTCTGTAATAGGCCACAGGTGGCTGTCAATCCAAACTTTCTTGGCAAGTGAGGACAGAGTAGAGGTGAAAATGAAACAGGCAGTGGCAGCAGAGGGGAGACTATCAGGGCTGTCTTCCATGCAGTGCACACACTTATAGATAACAGAAATGAAGATAGTCTACGACCCAAGGGCTAGGAACTCTCCTTTTCTTTCTACTAACTGCTGAAGAAAGGATATAGGCCCCGGCAATCAAAACCGGGCTGACGCTAAGGACGGCAGCTCTGCCTGGTAAGGCCAGTGACTGATGCCTCAAAGGAAGGAAGAGTCTGTCGCGAGAGCTGACTGGATGCTGATAGAAGCTGGTTCAGTCTGTCTGTTGCTAGTGAGAATAAATACTTGGTGCTAAAAAGACAGGAGCTATTCAGAATTATGGAGGGACTGGACAAAGGTCACTGGTTCACTGAGTTCATAGCAAAGGAGCTGTCTCTTCAAGGATGTGCATTCTCATTTTTTTTTACCTGTATTTAGGGACTATTAGGATGGAAGGTGTTTCAGGAGAGGGCAACTGCATGTTTGTGCAGTTGAATTTCTGTAAAGTTAAGACAGACTCAACTTCTCACTCAATTTGGAGCTCTGAATAACCTTTCTGAATGGACCCACTTGCTCATGGACAGGGATGGAAGATTTCTCTCTCTTCTTTCCTTGAATTCTGTGTGAGTTTTAGGAAGGGGAAGTACGTGGGTGACACGAAGGTGAAAATGTAGTAAAGCAGCATGCAGGACACATTAACGATGTTGCAGGATTTTCACAACACAGCTGAGGGAGTCTGTGGTGGCAAAAGCCAAATACTGAGCACAAAGCCAGTCCTCCAGGCTGACCCCACCCTCCCTGTCCAGGGACTTCTCAGCAAACTTGATCATCAGCAGTGCTCGCTTGATGTCTAGCCAGTTTTGGAGCAGGCTATTCCTCTGCACTAGGCTGGGAGAGGCGGTGAGAGTCTGGAAAAGATCTTCCCGGGGCCCCCAGAGCAGACACTGGAGGATGCCTCTGGCGTCTGAAATGAGGATCCTCTCGGAAGGGTTGGGATTCAGGAGGCAGCTGGCCAGCTGCTGCAGGCCGCGGGAGTAGGGGGAGCGGAGCGGGATGCGAGGCAGGTCTGCTCGCGTGTATTCCTTCTCCTTCAGCTCTGGGTTCTCATCGAAAGGGTTGGGCAGATGCAGCATCTCATAGATGAGGATGCCTGTCTGGAACTCATCACACTTCTTATACTGGGTAGCGGTTATGATTTCTGGGGCGAGGCGGGACTGGTCCCGGAGGATCTCGGGGTCCACCAGATGGCTCTTCTGCTTGGCCTGAGAGAAGTTGCTCACTATAAGCCTTGTGGGGCAAGATGAGGTGGGGCTGGGCTCTGCAGGCCCAAGACCTTGGGTGGTTCCCCCGGGCTGGTAGTGGACAAGCAACAGGTTCTCCAGGCGCAGGTCACAGTGAGTGACGTGGTAGGGTTTGAGGTGTTCGAGGCCGGAGCACAGCTGTAAGAGCAGCAGACAGACTTGCCTTTCATATAAATCAGGGCTTTTCCCATGCTGGGCCAGAGAGTCTCGCACAAAATCCGCCACAGTGAGACAGGGAACCTCTCTGGTGATGACCACGACGTGGCTTCTCTGCTTCTTGCTCGAGACTCCCTGGCTCTCTTTCAGGGATAACTCTGCTTCGGAAGAGCACTCCAAGTTTTCCCCATCAGTTTCTCCTTTTGTTTCTTCTTCACTCTCTTCCATTTCATCCTCTTCCTTCCCAGGGGCATTGGGATCCTCCCAGGGAAGCAGACGGTTGGGGACTTCAGCAAGGAAGTGACCACAGTCCTGCTGGATGTTGAAATGGACAGCCAGACTCTGCCGGACAGCCAAGCTGTGATAATACTGCTGAGATTCTTTAGCTTTGCTCCTACAGATCTGAAAGAAGAAAGCAATTAACACAATTTAAAGCTCATGCTTTCATGATTATGCTTATGGCACATCAAGGAGGAAGAACTGGAAGGTGACTGGTTAGAAACAAACAATCATATAGTGACGCCTTTAGAGAGTCTTGGTAGTCCTATGCTGAGTGACATTAACAATGGCAGCTGTCATCGCCCATGGCTGTCTACATGCCAGTCTGTGCTGAGCACTGTATGTGTACCATCTCTAGTCCTCACACTAAGCTTTCAGAGTAGGCTGAAGATCTAAAAAAAAAAAAAAAAAAAACATGAAAAACATGCCCAGGATTACCAGTGTGCAAACCTAAGTCCATCTGTCCATCTAATGCCAAAGCTTGCTCTTTCCACTATTCCCTGCACCTCATCTAGAAAACAGAACAACAAGAAAATTAATTTTTTACCTACTTTTTGAAGAGGTTTACAGCCCAGACATACACAGCAGGCCAATAAATGGCTCATAAAGTAGATTAGAGTATTTTATTTCCTCACCCATCACCCTTATGCCAACTTCTCGTCGGTCAGGAGAGTGACATACAAGTCCAGGTAAACTGTGGGTTTTCCTACCTTTAAGGTCATTGTGATGGTCACAACTCAGGCACTCACAGTTCACTGGCAGGGTAGGGGATACAGGGTTGAAAGAATCATTGGTCTGACCTAGTCAAAGCAATCCCAACATTTCAATGGCAGAATTCTGAGTTTTATGCTTTCTCTTAACGGGCCTCACTTAATGCCCAATATTCAGGCAATAAGACCTTTTAAAAAGCACTTCATTAAGTGGTTATGGATCAAAGAAGAGTTTTTTGATCAAAAACATGAGTCAAGTATTCTACATACTGTAACAACTATTGTATTCCTAGTCGTAAAGGGTTATAAAAGCAGAAAGTAAGCAAAATCACCCCCAAATGGGTTACCCTCATGCTATAGACTGGCTAACAATGGAAGACTCAGTCTCTAATACTAGTTCACAGATCATAATAGCCTGGTCTGGAGTCTCTCCATGGCCCTGGTCACTGAGGGATACATTCTTTACTCTTCTCCCTCAGCAGGAGTACCTGCCATAATCTACAGATATCAAAGCCTCCAGCAACAAGCACCCTCTGTAGTGTTTACACTGCCTGTTTATTACAGTAATACAGAAAAGAAGCAAACAGAAAAATACACATTTTCTTAGGAAGATGCAGATGGGTCTCCAGTTCTGAGTAGCAACATGTTCTGATTTCCATTCAAATAGATATTAAAAAAAAAAAAAAAAGAAGACCAAAGGCAAGGGAGTCTTGGGGAAGACTCATTCTCTCTCTCTCTCTGAATTTATTATAGCTCAAGATACCTGATATCAGTGATCAGTGCCATGGAAATATCTATCATCCATCCATCTATCTAATCTAATCTATCTAGATCTGAACAAATTCCTTCAAGTTTTCTACCACATACCTAATTGGTTTGAGGGTACATTAAGCATTTCTGTTTTAAGCAAACTCTGGTCTTGAAACAGATGCCCCCAGGCTGAATTTAAGTTCAAGTAGTATATCTTTTAGATAATATTGTCTTTGGAAAGCTCTGAAAGGCTCATTACATTTGGTGTAATATATAATCATATATGCTCATCAATCATAACATGTATTCTTTCTATATTGGACTATTGGCAACATGTCAAATTTATGTGTCACCAAGTCTTTAAAATTCCTATATTAGCTGTCATTTAGTTGTATAGGAGTTGGATCCAACACATGGCACCATGAATATCATCCCCAGTTATAGTAATTTGCTCAGCATCACATTGCCTGCTGGAATGAAAGTTCAAGGGTCCCAACTCCTCAGTCTTTGAAAAGCCTGTCAAATAATACAGGCAGCCTAGCAGATGCAGCTGGACAGCTGGACTCTAGCTGTCACATTGCAGAAAGGACACTCACCAAGGATGTAAGAGACCTGGGATTAAGCCTTGCTAGTAGCTGTGCAGCCTTGGGCATCTGATTAATTTCCCTAGGTCTCAGTTTCTCTAATGAAGGAATCAATGTCAAGGATATTGAAACCTACTTCATAGGGCAGTTGTGAGGATTAAATGGAATCAAGTACTTAGAGTACATCTGTAAACTACTAAGTTATACAAATGTAACACTGATAATGACTGAAACAGTGGTTAACCTCTTGCAAATTTTTTTTTTTTTGAGACAGAGTCTCACTTTGTTGCCCAGGCTAGAGTGGCCGTGGCGTCAGCCTAGCTCACAGCAACCTCAAACTCCTGGGCTCAAGCAATCCTGCTGCCTCAGCCTCCCGAGTAGCTGGGATTACAGGCATGTGCCACCATGCCCGGCTAATTTTTTCTATATATATTAGTTGTCCAATTAATTTCTTTCTATTTATAGTAGAGACGGGGTCTCGCTCTTGCTCAGGCTGGTTTTGAACTCCTGACCGCGAACAATACACCCGCCTTGGCCTCCCAGAGTGCTAGGGTTACAGGCGTGAGCCACCGCGCCCGGCCTTCTTACAAATATTAAAAGTGATGGAGTCTTATAGAATCCTCATATGTTTTCCAACAAAGAGAGCGAGACAGAAAAACATTCCTTTCTTTTGAGTCCCGACAGCCATCTGCCATTGCAGTGAGGCTCTCTGACCACAGGTTTGAGAACAGACAGATAAAGAGGGACTGGTAACATCCAACACCTCCAAGCCAGTGTCACTGTGTTCTGATCTGAGACAGGAAACCTGAGGCCAGGAGAGAGCGGTGGCTTCCCTGTGCCAGGCCGGGCCGGAGAGCGCTCGCCACCGTGCAGCTTGGCAGCAGAGGCAGGGAAGGCACTCTGATCGTGGTGTTCTGATTGTGTCTACACACACACACACACACACACACACACTTTTATAAGAGCCTTCAGAGCTTAGTGAGCAGATAAGAACCTGGATACTACAGGAAAATTTATGTTTAGCTTCACAGATCAACTCACAGATCAACTTGAGATAAAGGATCAAAGTGACTTACAAAGAAGAAATGATAAATTGTTCCTCCACTTTGGATGGTCTGAAGGAAAATGTCTGCCTAGCCAAGTAGGTGCAGGCAATTCCTTATCTCTTCATTTTATCATACATAGGCTGAAGAATAACAGATTACTCTAGTTTTAAGGGCAAGGCAAAAAGGAGAAGACTGGAGTGTAAAAGAGGAGAAAAAGAGGGATTTTAATTGGTTCATAACCATGAAAACAGTTACAAACCAAACACAGACCTATGGAGATTTCCATAATAGGATTTCACATGATGGGTATCTCATAAATCTTTATTATGGAGCCTGCAACAATGTTAATTTAGGTAGGAGTATTATATTATTCTATGCACCACATAGTAGCCATTTTTCAAATATTAATAACTTGACTCCTTTAGTTTTTTAAAAAACTCAAAATGACCTGACTTTAGATGATAAATTTCTAGTCCAAAAGTTATTTCAAAAAACAATCCACTCTTTTCAGAACAAATGGACATGGTCATTCTGCCAGTTTTTTTCTTTCTTCCCTTACCCAGAATTTTCTCTATGAGGGATCAAAGTAACTTTTTCTTGGCCTCTCATTTTCATTTATCTTTCTTGAAAGGAATTCACATTCCTTCTTTATAAAGGGTAGCTGGCATGAACCAGAGGAATCTCAAGGAATATTCATTACCCGGAAAGCATGATTTCTGCAGGACTCCTAGGCTCCCCCCAATTTTAAAATAGGAAGAAAACTAGAGTAGAATGATCCCATATCTTCATGTACGATTCCTTTCCCTAATGAGAGAAAAGCCACCTCATGTTTGTTTTGGCTATGTTTGGGAAAGCCTGCTTAAAATCATGCCAATGTTGGCAGATTCGGTGCTGTCGGCGTTTTCTGAAAGGGAAGAAAATACTGTAAGGCCCCGAGCCACAGTGACACTAGAGGGAGCTGCAGTACCAATGTCCAGGTGTCATTTACTTGTAAACCGCAGCCAGAGAACAAAACCAGGCTGGTGAAGGTTGAGTCTTCTTGTAAAGCGCACCACAGGGCCTCTTTCTGACAAGTGTTTGGTTCTATGAAGGCGGCAATGCCAAACTCGTGCAAAGGGAGCTCTTCATGCGAGGAGCTCGCCTGTCCTGGCGCCGGCGGCTCTCGCCCCCTTGCCTGCTCGCGGCGCCTGCTTGAGCTGCTTCTCCAAAGGAGTCGGGGGGACATCAAAAGAGACAGCCAGTCAGCTGGCAGGTGCACACTCAACAATGTGAATAACACACTGCTGCGAAAACAGAGGCTTGAGGGGAAATCGGGTACTTGTCCCGGTTAATACAGATCAGTGAAGACAGAGAATGGCAAAGAGAAATATTGATTCCCACCAGCTGAGCAGCTGAGTAAGTATCGGGTGGTTCCTCAGCACTTCCCAGCTGTAAGACACAGCGTCCTGAAGCAATCGGACCAGATTCCCAAACACAGGGAATGGGGACCCTTCGACCACTGACAAATCTACAGAAAAATGGAACAAAACAAAATAAAACCCACCAACCATGCCTTCCAGAATCAGAGCCAAATGACCAGGGCAAAGCACACAGCCCTTGCACACGCCCGGGGCCTAGCAGGGAAACAGCTCAGCTGAGGTTCCTCAAGCACACCGGAAAAGCTTAATCTCAAACATTCATTTCGGTCCAGGGGCTCATTTTCTGTGTTGCTCATGGAAACTGCTCTGCATATCTTCGAGGCAAATTTGCCATTATAAAGCATTCATGTTTGTAATACCCCAACCTGGACAGCTAACTTCTAAAAAGCAGACTGTGAGGCTTTGACTGTGAAGCCCCATTGAAAGCAGCCAGGGAGGAGAAGACAGGGCTGTGTCTAGCACTGCTGACCCAGAACACCCACAGTGCCTGGGACCTATGAGAAGGACGTGAATCTTGTGGCCCTTTCAACAAGTGATATTCAGTTTAAGACAACAAAGTAGGATGCAGGGGGCAAGGTGGACATTGGGCAAAATTAAATGGCATGACTATTGAAG